AATTAAAAAAGTAGATCAGAGACATATTTATAGTAATTATGCAGCCAAATTTGTCTGCAAATCTTTACTAATTAAGGGATAGAATTAAAATAAAAAAAAAACTCATCAAATTTTGTTGGGTAGTTGTAGAGATATCTTTGCTCAAAATTTTTTAAAAAATTCAAATATCTATCAAAATTATAGTTGTGGCAAATTTTTAACAAATTTCGAATAAAAATATCTCTGCAACCATTTAACAAAATTCAATGACCTTTTTTTTATTTTAATTCTATATATCTGTAGAATTAAAATAAAAAAAGATACATCAAATTTTATTAAGCAATTGCTAAGATATTTTTGCTTAAAAAATTTTAATTATTAAATGCCTATCATAGTTATAGCTGTGGCAAAATTTTTCAAAACTTTGAGCAAAGACATCTTGACAACACACAACAAAATTTAATGATTTTTTTTTTTATTTTGATTCTACAAATAAGTAGAATTAAATAAAAAAAAATTTTATCAAATATTATTGGATAGTTATCAAGTTATTTTTATACAAAGTTTTGAAAAATTTTTGCCACAGCTATAATTTTGATAGACGTTTAAATTTTTTAAAAAGTTTTGAGCGAAGATATCTCTGCAACTACCAAACAAAATTCAATGAGTTTTTTTTATTTTAATTCTATATATCTGTAGAATTAAAATAAAAAAAAAGTATTGAATTTTGTTGGGTGATTGCTAAGATATTGTCACCAAAAATTATAAAATGATTTGAATTTTTAATAATCATATTGTAATTATTGATCTACATAATTGATCACATAGATACATGGCTTTAGATTAGAGATTGTACCCGGGTAGACATTTTTATTATATGGCTATAATAAATTACCCAGATAACCGGGTAATCTAATAATACCCGGGTAGAAATTTTCTTGACAGGTACAATCTCTACTTTAGATGACCTCCAAATTTGGCATTACTGAATATAGATATGATCTATATTGATTGACATCATACAAGTTTCTAGAACTTATTAGTGAAATTAGATTTGTTTGGCTATCAAATTTTATATATATAGTAGATTATCAAATAGCAAAAAAAGTACAGTCAGGGTATATACTAGTGTTCCGCACAGATCGAATCAGACAGATCTTTTTAAAGATCTGGATCCGATCCGAAAAAACAGATCGAATCCAAGTCCAGATCTGGATCCGAATAAGAAAGATCCGGATCTAATAAAAAAAATTGTACCTTATTAAATTTCTTAAAGTATGAACCTATTTATATTAATGATGCTGCCTGAAACTAATTTGGGTTACTAATCGAAACCAAAACTAGTTTTATGTATCCGAAACTAATTTTCAAAACTCTAAACTTTGTTAAAATTCTGAAACTATATAAAATTCTGAAACTATGTAAAAAGTTCCGAAACTATAATAAACTTCTAAACTATATCAAAATTCCGAAACTATATTAAAAACCTGAAACTATACTAAATTCCAGAACTATACTAAAGGCTTGAGAACACCCTTAGGTAGCATCCACAATTTACATTAAACTTGTATTATCTTTAAGATCTCTATAAACAATGCAAATTCAATGATTTCTATATCCGGTTTACTGTACTTACTGACTATGATTACACCTTAATAATCAAATATAAAAATCTATATTTGGTAAGCTAATATATTATTTTTATTCTTAATATAAAGTTTCTGATATCGAGTATCATAATTCCAACTTACAGTAGTAACATACCGAATTGGTTATCAACACTTTTTCACAAAAAATCTAAAAGTTGCAATTATACCTTATAAAGACAATATACATGCATTGAAACCCTCAACAAAAAAATAGTATAATCAAGTTACACATTAAATTAAGATTTCTTGCACCGTATATATTCAAAATTTATTTATAATACAAGTTATTCAAATTTATGAATACATATTCTTCAACAACTAAGATTGGCCTAATTAGAAAATTATGAGCTTATTGCTAGTTTAAGTAGTTCGTAGTTTTATATGATCTAAAACCTTTTGAGTGTTGTCAATCAAAAGGGCTAGCTCTGCTAGTATCAATCTTCAAACCATAATCTCAATCAAGATTATTCATTATAATCAACCTGGGCAAAACTCCAAGTTCAGTTAGCACGAAGTTTTTTCTCTTTGATGCTATTTAATTTTGTTATCTGGTAAGTGAATATAAAATATATTTATTTTAATTCTGTTGAAAAGCATTCGTATTACACGGCATACACTGTATTTGTTTGGACTAATGCCAGAAAATATCGAGAGAAATCGCTCAGGTAATTACTAAACTTATTGCTTGCTGTATAGAAGGCACGATTACGGTCAAAAAAGGCTCTACAGAAGTCCAAAAACGAAATACAAGAACTGGAAATCCAGCTTATTGTGAATTAAGTTCAGTTTTATTATTTGTTGACTTAGACTAATGCTTTATTAAAAGTTAGCAGAATTATGATAGAAAAATGAATGACTGGCCGCATTGGGAGCTGCTATGGGATTATTGTACCATTTCTCACTTGCTGAAGCAAGCCAGCTAGAAATGTAAGTGAAGTGATAGAATCACGTGTCTTTGTTTTCAGTTCACGCACCTGCGGACTTGGCTTTATCGGTAATCAATCTTATACTTAATGCCTAATTCTTTATTCCATCAAAAATCTGCCGAGATGGGTAATTTTGAAGGAACATTTAGGGTTGGCAATTGTTATTTATGAAGGAATCGGTGTCGAAAAGGATGAACATAAGGCATTCATATATTATCAAAAATCTGCAGAGATGGGTGATGCTAGTACAACATTTAATGTTGGATATTGTTATGACGAAGGAATTGGAGTTGAAATGGATAAACATATTATTTATCTTCGATCTCCTATGTACTTCCTATATTATCTTGTTCTTTTGTACTATCTGCTAATTTTCACATGTATTGTTTTTACCCGTAAAGGATTTGTGTGGCTACTCAACTTTTTTTCTTTCTTTTTTTTACGATAATGAACTAGTATTAAAGAATATATAATAAATTAAAGAAATTTTTGCTTATAAAAATATAGTAAATTTTTTAGCAGAAAAACTGTAAGTCTTTTGAATGCAAAGACAGTATAAATACAATCCTTGAAATTTTTATTTTGTTAATATAAATATAACTTATACCGTAGATATGAGTGAGGGTTTTGGATAGGGATGTTATCCTGCTTGTCCAAACTTAGTTCAGGCTATTTGAAACCCCAAACACGTTAACTCGAGTTTTTTGTGATCATGTGATTTTAATTAGTAAATTTTAAACTCGGTATTTTTAAAAAAATAAAGTTAACTTCCATGATTTAAATGACATAAATGGGTTTTCTCATTAAAGTTAATTTATTTATTGTGTATAATACATAGGCTTTTTTTTTTAAACAAAATATTACATTATTTCTTTGTAGAAGCAATTTAAATTGCTATAAATACGTATTTTTATATTTCTTTATCTTACATTTAAACACAAACAATTTCAAAATATAATTAAAGGTCAATAAATAAATAATATGCGAATATAATATTAAGCAAACGTACATATAATATATTATATTCTTTATAGTAAATAAATATTTAGATTAACATGTTTGGGTGTGCATAATTATAAATAGTTTAAAGCAGAGTTTGAAATCCAGGTTATATATGCGTTTTTAAATAGTGCTTGAACGGGTTTCAAAGTTGGAATTCGATTTCGATGACGTATAACATATATATTAAACAACTACTGCTTATTTTATTTAATAATATATATATTTATATACATACTATAACAAATATATTGATACGTATACTAACTATTTAATATCCTGATCATGAATCAACTCTTCTAAATTAAATTCATGATCGTCATTCATAGCAATATCTAAATTATTATTTTCTTCGTTAGAAGTATATTGATTATCTGCTTGATTAAACATTCGGTGATTCAAATCTACAATATCGTTAACAACTAAAACCACCACTTAGTGATTAGGAATAACTAAATCATCATCGTCATCTGATTCACTATTTTTATTATTTTCATTTTCAATTTCTTCACTATAATTCTCATTATCAAACAGATATGATCTTTGAATCATCACTACCAATTCATCTTCAGTTTTGTTTTTTGCACTGTATGATAACTCTTTATGTGCATTAAATAAATTGTGATGTCAAATTTTAGTTAGTGATTCTAAATTTTTTAAACTTAAACGCTGTCTTTTTTTCCCATAAAACCAACCCAGAATAGAGAAAATTCGTTCACACGATGTGCTATGAGGAGTTATTGCAAAAATTTTTTTAGCTAAAATTTTAAGATTATCAAACTTATCTTCAACAAAGCTCCACCACATAAAAGGAGTCATTAGCTGACTATTATATCCGATTTTGTACGGGAATTGTTTTTCTCTAAATTTGATAATTTGGGAAATTAGAGTTTGTGCAGATAATTTATCTTTGTATCCCATTGATTGCCATAATGTTCCAGCATAAAGGGCAGTTTGTGTCCATACTCCTTTTCTTAAACCTGCACCTATAAAAATTTTTTATTATTAATAATTATATTTTTGTACTATAAAATATATAATACTTAAAAAATCTATTTGGATTACAATACCTCGATATTCAGGGTGAAGTATATATGCTAAAATATATGACTCAGCTTCAAGTTCGTTCCAATGGTTATTGACAATTTCTATACATCGATTTTTAAAAGTAATTGTATCTCTTTCTCTTGGAATATGGTAAATTGTTGAAATTAAACGAACTAGTTGAATAAAGCAGTCTGCCATTGTGCAATTTGCTTTTTCTAACTGCAAAATTGCAGTTCTAATTGGGGCAAAAATTTTGGATATCTGTTCTACATCGTGAAAAAATCCTCGAAACTTTAAAATTCTTTGTACATCTTGATTAGTAATAATATCGGGATGATCATTTAATATCTTAAAAATCATTAATTATACGATATATTAATACTAATATAGTAAACCAAATTTCAAGTATATAATTAATAATAATTACCTTTTCTAATACAGGTTTTAGTCTAAAAACAGAATCTACAGTTTCATAAGCCGATGTCCATCTAGTTTCAATAAAAAGTTTTAATTCACCTCCATGAATATTAAATTCTTCAATATATTTTTTTAAATAACTTTTAGCTAAATAACTAGCTTTAAAAAAGCGACATATCTTATTACAATACTTTAAAATACGTGCAGGTAATCCACATTTTAAAATATCCTGACTAATTAGATTAACAAAATGAACAATACAATGAAGATTAAAAATAAAGGGATATTTCTGATTAATCTGTCTACATGCAGCAGCATTATCAGAAATTATTCCAATAAATTTTTCAGGTCCAATTTTAATTAAAATTTTTTCAATTTCATCAAAAAGTAAATCAGCCGTATGGCTAACATGAGATAAATCACGAAGGGCATATAAAAATTCTTTATGATTAGAAGTCATTATCATAAAATTATAAATTGAAACGCCTTGGGGATTTGTCCAACCTTCCAATCCTAAATTAAAATAAAATTAATAAAATTGCATAAATTAAAATTTAATGCAGTAATAACATTAAAATTAATTTACCAAGTATTAAATTATTTGCAGTTTTTAAGTATTCTTCAGTTTTCCAATTAACTTTAATAACTTCTTCATTTAATAAAGTGTTGGCAAGATATTCACGGGTAGGTGGATTAAAACTTTTTATTGAAACTAGATGGACATCAGCTTATGAAACTATAGATTCTGTTTTTAGACTAAAACCTGTATTAGAAAAGGTAA